TTTTCAAAATTTTCAATTTTTTCTTAAATGACCAAACGAAAACGGGACTCATTTTGGTGACTGATAGTAGGCTGGCGAACACACGACTGTACCAAATTTTGGAACATTTTATTGACAACAGAGTGAGCTATGGTACTTTTTAGAGTGGACCTATAATTTTGTCCAGCACTGTATGATCAGGTAAAATTGAGCGAAAATGACCGAAATCTCAAAAACAAATTTTTAAAGTTTTATTGATTAGACCACAAGTTAAGAACTTCCTGTTATACCTGAACACTACAACAGATTATAGGCAATGAATACTTGTTATTTTGACGTCCTTGATTTGACAGTAACTCGACAAAAATGGGAAGGTTCCCGATCTTTCAAATTACTTTCTCGAAACAATCAAGCATATATCTTCAAATTAAATTTAAAGAATTGAAAGGTCAAACAAAAGGTGTTTTAGAAAAAATATTATAGAAAAATTACAAAAATTATTCTCTAGGAATTGATTCGAAATTTCCTAGGCTCCACAATTTTCAGATTTATCAACCTGATTACCTGTTTGTTACTGCTAAAAGGTTATGTTGTCATCGTATAGGTAGAACATAGGTAAATCGAATATTGTTAATTTTCATCGAACTCTTGTTCCTCATAAATAATTCTTCAAAATTATTGGTTTTCATAATATATACAAGCTAAGAATAACGCATAATGCATTTTTCTTGAAAGTCACTTTTGCAAAAAAAAGAATAGTCAAGGCTTGAGAGAGCAGCGCTTTATATGAAATAAAAATAAAAATTGACTAGTTTTTGACTTGGACAATGGCTGTATTGTATTAATAGAGTACAAAACTGATTGTTTGACAAGAAATTCCCCTTTCATTCTTCCCACCAAATTGTAGTTCACGTGGTTGTGCTGTGGCATGCTCATGAGCCAAGTTTGATTAGCCTGGCTCGCGTCCCTGGAGGCACGATTGACTTCACGGACGAAAAACACAAGCTGTTTATTGTAAACACACGGACCATTGCATTTCAAAAGATGTCAAGGCATTTACTTGTTGTTCACCCAAGGAATTTACTAGCATTTGATAGGTTTGGGGAAAATGCTGATTTATTCCCAGCGGGTGGGAGGGGCGGGGCGAGGGGAGGGTATTCAATAGTTCGGGTAAATTTGAAGGGAGCGAGTAAGGAGCAAATTAGTAAATAAAAAAATCAAAAATAAAGAGAACCAGTTAGATAATATTTCAAAAACTCCTTTTTCTTTCTTCTGACCACGGTTTTATTACGACAAAATCAAAAATTTTTAGTAACTGAACTTGACAGTTGACAGCAAAAATGTATGCTTGTTATGGGAAAAAATTCACAAAAATGCAAGAAAATGTAGGAGGCTCAGAATCAAAGGTCAAAACATATTTCATCAATGCTTTCGTAGATGTCTCGCTGCACTTTTACCTCAGTTCGGTCTCTTCTCCCCACCCCCTACCACCACCCCTATCCCTTGCTTTCCATTTCTCGAGAAATGTAGTACATTCGTATGGAAGTTTGGATTCCCATAATTTTCGTGCAATCTCATTCCTCTTACACTTTTTGCTTTTCGCTAATGCTAGAAGTTCTTCGGCGCAAGACCCCGTTCAATCAGATAGCGTGACAAAAACCTCTTTAATCGCGGTCATCTATCACACCGCGTTCTATTGCTTCGGGAAAGTATGCATGTCCCTAGTGTGAGGTCCACAGCAGAACAACAAACTGGGAGGAAATGTACAATTTTTGTGGAGTAAGGAATGCTAGGGGAGGGGGAGCAGAAGCGAGGTAAAGTCTTATTGTTAGCGTGCATCTGGGAACATGGCAGGTAATGGATGGCTATGGTATTAAGAGTAACAAAAGTTTTATAGTGACATATTATAGATATTATGCATATTATAGATATTATAGTGACATCAATCGTAATAAAAAGGTTTCTAAGTGATCAAATTATGACTACCGCACATGTTCAAAGTTGTAAGTACATAAATACCTCGGCGTTTTTTGTAGAGGTAGCAGAAACTCAAATTTTTTTGAGGTATAAAAGAACATCATTGTTATCAAAGAAATACTACCACATACGTCAAAGAAGTAGCCTTAGAATCTTCTCATAAATTGAAGTTTAACAGCCTCTCACAAACTTTCTTGCTTTTTACTGCTGGAACTAACATCTTATTAGAAAAAAAAATTGCTATGAACCAACCAGATAAAAACCTTTTCGGGTTCTTTCGTAGACTAACAAATTTAGTTCTCAAAATTTTGCACGGCAGGAGACGCTGGCTCTTATATGGCTAGAATGTCAGCTGATTTCTGAATCCCTATAAGGCCTCATCCTCTCCCCTTCACCCCGAGAAAATGACTAAAATATTTTCGTGAGAGTTCAAAAGAGTTAAGAAATTCTGCAAGTACCCTTTGATTCGTCAGGTGCAAGGCGACCGCTTGCACCCGCAACGCAGTCTGCGTCTCTCTCGCGAGCGTGCTCTTTGGTCAATCTCTAGCCCTGCTTAGACCTCGAAGTCCTTCTTCCATCTACCAATCCCGTTGAATCAAAAGGCAACTCATAAGAGTGAAAGCAGATTTATTTCGTGAACTAAAAAATATCAAATTAGTTCCATAAATGATCATAATAAAGACTGAAAGTAGAATGATTCAAAATGGTATAAGTAAGAAACAGCTCTACGCAAGCTTTTCCAGGGTGACGTCACGCTCTTTCAATTTTTTAATTTTTTCAGAACCTTCTGGTCGTCTGCGTTGTAACACGCTTACGTTTGAGATGGAGTCATTGACATTTTTCGCACTCACTGAAGTACTGAGCGATACTGAGCGATCCTAGCGATTTCGATGTCAAGTTTCCACCATCCCCCTCCTCCCTCTACCCCTTTCCTTTCCCCCTCCCCTACCAATAGCACGTAATCACTTCCAGTTGGTGGAGATAATCAGCGCTCAATTTTCCCGTTTCCGGTTGGTTGTTGATTTTTCAGCTTCTTGTTCAGGTGTAAACATACTTTGCCGTCTTATTCACTCGCATTCTGACTCACAAGACGAGAAACTTGCGTCTCAACATGGAAAATTCTAGAGAAACTCATCGAAATTCATAACGATGGGCTAGCCTGCTACTAGTTTGTCTCTAAAAGCTTGAGAATTTTCTCCTAAAAAGGAAATCAGAGTCTAAATAATTTTGTCCTATAAATCTCGATCCCGAGAATTTGTATCCAATGCGGAAATTCCCATGGGTGACATCAATTTTCGCCGAGCAAATAAAAACGATGAGGAAGTGGTGTCCCCGATGCATCACATGCTGCCTGGAAGCTTTGCAAAAAGCTGCTGAACCCGAGTTTTCGCATTTTTGGTCCTAAATTTAGCCATGACCCTCGACCCGTGATCGCCTTGGCCACCCATGACTATATGTCGATTTCTCGTTAAATAAATATGTTTAGCGCATTTGATGTTTGCTTCTATCGAATATGAGCCGAGAGTGTGTGGCTCACACTCTCGAAATCGAGCCGATCACGCACTCGTGAAGGTCAAAAAAGGTTTCTTAGAGAAAATTTTTGCTTGGGGAGAAGTTTGAGGGTGGCTTTAATCCAAATTTAACGGTGGGGAAATTTAGAGTTTGGTCGAGTATATAAACTCTTGCATGGAGAAGTTAAGGCAGCATGACTGCTATGATACCCACCTAAAAATTTGGTGCGAGTTCAGAGAGGCCTATAAAATTTGACACTTTTAAAGGTAACTCCAAGCGCAGAGTCTCAAAACTGATTCGCAATGCATATGTTACGACCTACCGCAAAAATTAAGCATAGAATAGTAACTACAAAAATAATAGAGAATTTTTGTCATACAAGTTTTTAGCAGCAAGCGTTAACACAAATTAATGACGTATCACAAAATTCTGCAAAGCTTTTTTTGATCAAGAAAATGCTTAGAGTACAAAATTTTAGTTTATGGTTTCCGTTTCTGAATGTATGTGTTGCCAAAATTAGTTTTTAAACCCTCATATGGAGGACTTCGCAATGTTAAGTTTATTTGGGTGAGTAGGATACGAAAAAACTGGAAACCATAGAACATTGATCAGTATGCGCAGGATGATTTTGAATCAGTTAGCAGTGGCGTACCCAGGATTTCGGCTCGGGGGGGGGGGCGACAAAAATTTTTTTCTAATGAAGGTGCGTGGCCTCAGCCACGCACTCCGAAAATTTTTTTGGGATGTTTCTCAAAATTTTTCCGGACCTCTGACCCCAAATTTCCAGAAAAAGTGGGCGTGGCCGTAGCCACGCCCCTGAAAAAAATTTTTTTACAAGGCTAATTTGAATTTTTAAAAATTTTTAAAAATTATTTTAATTATTTACAAGTAAAAACAAGTCCTCCGCACATTTTTATAACACATTTAAGTAACTTTCAAAAATTTCGCGACCTTTGCAGCATAAATATATCCTGTAGATATGACTTTAAAGTATAAATATAGAGATTTGTAGCGGTATCTGAATATGTGAAGAGCTGATGATTAAAGAAAATGTACAAAAACACGTTCGGACCAATCTTCTCTGTGCGGGTCTGTACCAGCAAGTGTAATAGAAAGGTTTCGGTTTATATTTTCTTCAAAGAGGCAAGAATGGGCTTTGAGAGAGCACATATGTAAAACTAACTCCAAACTATTTTAAAGTAATAAGTACTCCACAAATTGAAAAGTAACTGAAGGCGTAAATGATAGTGCTCATAATAACCTCAGCACATGGCCTAACGAACTCAGCACAGCAACCTTCTCAGCAAGAAATCGAAAAGATAGCTAGTTCCTGAAAGATGTAGAGAGAAAAGTAAACCCATGAAGGAGCTCTGAAGAGAGAAATCATGAGCTTATTCATAGTGTGAATACTATGCATTTGTTAGTACATAAGTAACGAAAGCATGAAGAAGTCGGTAGAGGAAACTGGTCTGAATGAGGATGTGATAAATCAACGAGCTATGCGCAAACTGTAAATTTCGAGGAAAACTTACAGCAAGTCTGTCATCGGTGACGAAGTTCATCGTAACAGTGTCAGAGCCCTGAAAGCACAATCAATGTCTACTTCGCACTACCGAAGCCAAACAGAATTTCATTAAAAACATCTATACCTGACTGTCTCTCCTCGTTCTTTGCGTACTGCTCGATTCAACCACCACTCCTCTCGCCGACGTGGTGGTACCGCCTTTTTTCGCCGAGAACTCGTCCACAAGCCGTACACGACCTCCTTCACCCATTGTAGAGAGGAGTGCGGTGAGTTCAGTTCAGCGACGACGACGGAAGCGCAAGCCGGTGTGTGAGCACAGCGCGCGATCCGCCTCGGAGTTATGCGATCGGTCGCGAACTCACGTCGTCGACGACGGTGGTGGCGGCGGTGACGGGGAGAGCAACTCGATCCCCCGTGTGCGCACGTGCGTCTCTCTGGCCCCCTGCACTATTTCGAAGCTCAACGTTGACTGTGCGGATCATCAAACAATTCGTCGCTTCGAAACCTCCGTGCGACTCACTCGCTGCTGCCGCGCAACTGGAAAACGCGCTCATGGCAAAGAAATGGCGCGTGCGCGCCACTGCGGTAGTTTTTTCATTACTTTCCGCAGTCGCATGGCGCCTGCGCAACTTCCGGTCAGGTTCGCAGTACCATTAAGCGAGTTATAACCTTTTTGAAGGGCTTAGCATACTGCCGATTTGAGGATTTGCAAACCGGAAGTGGACTACCCATAATGCTATGAAACCAGCAGGCGCGCAGTTACTATCTAGCAGATTAGTGCCATTGCACTGGTGCGACATTTTGGCGTCAGAATTGGATAAGGGGTGGATTTTCAAATTTTGTGGCCTTTTTACTCACAAGGGTTGCTCGTAGCTCTATTAATAGGGTGTCTCATGATTTTTTTACCGTTTTAACTAAAACCACCGTCTTTTTGTATCTTTCCTTCATTTTGAGTAATCGTTCGACAGGGCAAAGCGAGCTCTACAAGATGGCTATCAAAAATCTGTCCAAATCGTATCCCATATGAGGTTTTAAGCTGAAATCTGGGAGTAGTCGAAAACGAAAAAATTGTATCTCCGTTATTATCTAAAAAATTCCTCGTTTATTTTAGCATGTGTTTGACACCTCGCACATTCGATTGCACACTTTCCAAATTTTTTCCGAGGCTAGAAATAAAGACAAAAAATGGACGAGGTAAAATGGCAAACTCCGCCCCTAGAATTCTTGAGCTCCTCCCATGCATGTGATGATATGGCCCATACATACAGAAGTACGATCACGTATTTGTATCCTTTGCAGGTGTCTCAGTTCTCGAGAAATGCTGATGTTCAGGGTAAAAACGGTAAAAAATTGTGGGACACCCGAATAAAATGTTGGCGAAAGATTGAAGCTTTGATCGTAGCTTTTTGCTCACGGCAACAGGTGAAGTAAGGATGATGTCAGGGCATTGCTTTTATTGCCCTTCTATCGAAAATCTGAAAAATTAACCGTTTGAGTTTGAGTCAATGAGAGCTTCTGAAGCACAACTTCCATTTTTCATAGACGCTTAGAATAACTAGCTATCTGCTGCTTACAAAATAATTCAACAGAATTAGAAACATTTCTTTCAGAAGCTTTCTTAGAGAACGATCCATCGGCACTTTGCCAGTTCCCATACGACAGCACTAATCGCTTGCGTTTTATATGAATGCAATTATAAAAGAAACGCGGCTATTGTTTCACTTCCACACTTTTCTGGTCGAAATTGCAAATCGCAATTCGCAAGGAAGAAGTTTTGCTTCTTTCCTTTTGGTACGGGTTGATCCTGTTTCACTCATGGTTCGCACTGTGAAACACTATACGTTGCGAAAGATATGAAAAACGCGTAGTCACGAATTCAATTTGCGTTCACAGCATGGGAGCTAAAAGTTCTTGACATATTCCAGCGGAACCAGTCAAAAAGTTAGCCGATAATTGCACCGTGGTGATCTTGTACTATCTGTCATGGGAAGAAATTTATTGGCTACCTTGCATCGATGACTACGACTGATGTTCCGAAGCAGGAAGCCTCGCGAAGGTGGTTTCTCAATTTGAAAATCGTTCGATGAGATTAGCTGAGAGTTTAATTGCCTGTTTCGGACTTGAGAAAAAATGTACTTAAGCAGAGTAAAACACTACTTAGAATCCGGTTCAGTCACTTCAAATTACGTCCTTCTATACTTGCAGGGGGTCCAAAAATCGAACGTTTGATCTTCGATTGCTCCTTGTATGAAAAGCTTTCACTGTCTCCCAAACATGGCTCGACATAGGTGGCTTGTAATCAAGCTGGATATCGTTTTTGTGACAAAAAGCAAAGAGCGTATCGTTTTTATAGGTCTAAAATTACGCTTTTTTAGTCGACGTTTCGTTTTTTGGTCGATTCGAATATTTGGACCAAAGAAGACTTCGTAAAATTTTGCGGAATCAGAAGGACCTCGTTATTTTTGCATTTTCGGAAACCCACCTCGTGAACCCTACTCCCAAACATATTGTAGAGATAATTTTCACTTAGATTTACAAAATGGAGTAATCAATCGCCGATCCCTTTTCACTACTGTAAGATTACGACAAGAACATTTAAAAATGTCTCGAGCTGTAGAAAGCCTATTTTGCCTCAGAAAGCAAACACCAAACAACCGGAAAACTTTTACACTAGGCTAATCAAACGCAATAAATTCAAACATAAAGCTTATACTTGACCGTAATAATGCTTCTTTCGTGAGTAATAATATAATAATAATTATACAGTGACAGATTTCTTCAATGTTTTTCAAAAATGCGGTTGTACCAAACTCCTTAGAGAAGTCCGAGAACTTAAGATGTTGAATCAGCATGCATAAAAATTTCGACATAAAATTTTTCAGACGTTTTTGGAAACTTTTTGAAATTAGCTTGTTCGCAATGGCGCTGTATACAAAAAAGTTTCTAATGATACATTAATGCAGAAAGATAGGTTTTCCTTCATACTGCAAATGTAAGTTGAAACCAGCTTTGCAATATATTTGGATGGCCACGAAGGCTCTACGTACAAGAGATTTATCACGGATCAAGCGTCCGATACGTTTTTAGGGCACCATGTACCTACGATCATTCGAGCCTGTGAAAGATGTGATCCACAAAACGAATTCTCGAATTTTGACGCTGGGCATCTCAAAATGCTCTAGCAAGAGTCACAGCTTCATAGAAAAGTGAAGAATTTCTATCTGAGAGATCCCTTACATTGGAGACAGTTAAAGTATTGGGTGAAAATTTGGCAAGGGACTTCGCTTACTTTCCAGTAGTTGAGTCCGGAGTTTTGTGGTGATTGATGAATGAGAAAGAAACGCAAAGAAGTTTCGAGCGACTCTTAGCTGTATTACTTAGCTGAGCGTGTCCTATAGTACCCTAAGGCTCATCTGTGCCAGTCTGTTCCTGTTAGGGAAGGATACGGAAACTTGAGCTAGAGATTAATGACGAGATTTGTGACACTAGACGCGTTTTTGAAGCTAGCGTCCGGACAAGCTCGGAGGTTTTGGAATTTGAGAGCCATGCGAAAGTGGGTCGTGCCACACATACCACACAGGTGCGAGGCTATACCGCTAGACCAGAAGCAAGAAATACGGCCGAAAAGCTGAGAAACTTACGCTCTGGGAGCAGGGCCCTCCACCCGCGGATTTCCTGCTCAGCGGCAGAGTACGCTTACCGCCACAGTTCAAGTCGTAGAGTCACGCAGCGACTCTGCGGTCTTGGCGGAAAGCGTCCCAGTCATTTGAACTCAAATTGTAAGGGTGTAAGAAGCGCATGTTCTCGCAATTTCTGCTCTTTTTTAGACTACAAACAAATCTCATGTGTAGGATGCACCACGGCTAGAATTTTTGATATTTCTATAATGATAACATGTTAAGAGCTTTCTGCGTGAAGAATGGCTATGCAAACATAATTTGACTTTTTCAAACTTTTCGCAAATCACGAAAATATTGTGACGAGATTTCCTAACCAACTCAGTTTCGTTGGTGATAGATTTCTGATTTCAACTTGTTTAGAAGAATGAAGAAGTTGGTATCTACATCTTCTTCTCGTACGATAAGCTTCAAGTGTGCAGCTGGCACATGGATTGATCTCCTCGAGAATGCTATATTTTGAGAGTTTCATGTCGTTGAAGATAATCGTGATCTTTCATACGAAACTCTTGATGTGAAGAATTCGCTTTGCGTTTCATATATATGATAAGGATGAGATGAGTACTGCAGTATTTTTCGGTTGTTGCGTAGTAGTAGTTTCATAAAGTAGCTCGTTCAGCAATTTGACTACGACCATTGTTGTGGCTCGGTGGGCTCAGCACCCCCTTGCCTCGCTCGACTGCCATCCTGCCCCTCAATTTGCGCGTCCGTGCGCAATCCAAACCCAACAACGGATAACAAAGGTATCACACGCGCGATAAACGCAACATCACAGAGAACCACACGACTAGATTAGATAAGTTTATCTACACTACAAAAAGGGGTTGACTGCAACAATAAAAACATCAAAGTACAAAACTACAAGAAAAACACGGTACTAGCCCGCCTCATTCCGGTCGCCGATAGTCACAAAGCATCTCTCAACATAAGAAGTTCAGGGGTTGGCCCCAGGGTCGACCGCATAGCGCCTAGTCCTTCCGGAACGGTGCGATCTCTCCACTACTCCCGCGATGGTACTTCCTTTGATCATTAGACGAACTTATCGCACGTATGCGCTTACATCCAGAAAAGATCCATTGCTCGACCGCTATCCGCAACAAAACTTCTTCTGCGGGAGCTCGCTAACCGGCTGCCGAGATCCCCACAAGAAGTCGATAAGAGGACTGCATCAGACCAAGAAAGGAACAAGGCCCGCAACGCCTTTCGCGCCGCCTTACATACCCTTTTTCTTGGCAGCGAGCCAGCGGGGAGGGGTCCGAGTGCGAATGCAAGAGGCGCGCCCGGCTACAGCGGCAAACGGCGCTCCCGGCCACTGTATCGAGGAGTGGCTTGCATCGCGCGAGCCGCGACAACCATCTATTAAAAAACCTTTCTTGTTGTTCTCGTGCAAATTTTTTGCGTGTACGTAAGTTTGGGTAGACTCAATATTGGAAAAAAGGTGAATCGACTGAAGAGATTTACGGAGCCGCCCTTATTTTGAAGTAATACGTAAATTGACCCGAGCGGATTTGCAAGCCAATTAGTCGCAAGAATTTTTTTCATCAATTTAGTAAAAGTTTCAAGTAAAACCCGAATCTCAGAATGAAACTCCACTCTTAAGATAGCGCATTTGCCTATTTTCTTTTCGAATAGAGTGTACGGGCGTTACTGTATACAATAAATACCGCTTCTGTCGTCAAAAGTCACCGAACTGTACGGAAATTACCGAAATCCGCTTCGATCGCCATATGTTAAATCAAGATAGATAAATTCTAAATTCAAAGGCTATCAAATCCAGAGAAACATATTGCTCCAACGCGGACTTAAAGACGACTGAAAAATGTTGTAATTACAATATCCAAACACTGCCACCTCAGAAAGTACACCTCAGTTGTCTTTCCGCTTTGCTTCCAGACAGAAAATTCAAGAACATGTACCAATTCCTTTCAGTTTCTAGGACTTGCAATGGCTATGTACCTCGCTCTTGAATGGAATATTCCCACATCAGAAGTAAAATACGGAAATCAAAGGATAAGCTCTACCTATGTACAATTGACACAATAACCCATAAAATCTCCAGAGGAACGACTTATAACATTGAAATATTAGGTTGGCTAATAAACAAGTTCAGTCACTTTTTTAACTCTTACAAATGCTGTAGGCAAACTTTCGTCCAGTGTTTGATATCTGTGGAAAGAGCGCTTCAATTAGTATTAGAGCATATATTCTGTTTAAGTGAAACTTATCTTCCAAGGAAAAAAATCCGCAAAAAAAGTGAGAAAGCGCAATTTTCTTATAATGCGCAAATATGAAAAAATTTGGTTTTCTTGATGAAATATTTTCAAAGTGGCAGATCACAACTTTTTGAAGCTCAGAACAGAAACTATACTTATTTGTTTTGATAGCTAACTTTTCCGAGAGAATGTGGCAGTAGCTCACGAAACAGGTGCAACCTCCAAAACAAGTACCACATAAATGCCTTCTTCTTCCATTTATTCGTTTTGGGACCGCGCCCGAAAACTTCCGCCTTTCTTCATGCGATATCTCAATGGCTAAGTAAAAACGTAAGCCAAGCGTGAAGAAGAACCAGCTTGAAGTTTTTTACCATCGTAAACTCGTTCAAATTACGTGTGTGATAGGGATACTATGCAATAAGTCCTGGACGAGTTTTCGTTGAAGCGCAAGGCTATTTTTTCTTACGGTCGAACAAGCCAATCAAATCGATCACAGTAGGATCAAGATCACCTTACAATTCAAAAATTTGGTGTAAATTCTGGTAACATTTTTGCACCTTACACGATTTATTCAAAAAATGAACAAAATCTCAAGCTATGCTGAAAACAAGTTATTACCAGCATTCCTTCCTATATACAAACATCAATGGTAAGAAAAAGCAAATTTTTCCTAATCTACCAGTTTCTAAACAGTGGGCGGTGTTTGGATGTTGGCCAACTGAGACATTTTTCCTGGGATTCGCTCGATTTCTCCGACTGTCAGAAAACCGTCATTGTTAGCGTCAAGAGTAGCAATCACTTTGGCGATTTCTTCTTTCGAGAGCTGAAAAAGAACGTAATATGAATATAAGAAAAAGGTCTTAAAGGGGACGGGGGGGGGGGGGAGGTTTCATCAAATCCGGGTACCTGAATTTTTAGTGCAGACGTGCTTGATCATGATAGCTACTACTTATCAATCCAAGCGCAACCTCATTAAAATTATTCTTAGCCAAGAGATGCAACTCGGAAGCCCCGCCCAGTACCGTATTCTTCACTATCAGAGTACGGTACTGGGCGAAAGTTCTGTCCACCCTAAGTTGAGGGTGTTGAGCTTTTGGCAGCATATAACAGTAGGGCCTCCTATCAAGCCAATGCCCAAGTCGCGAAGCAAAATGCCGCTTCGGAAGCGAGAAAATCGCTTCGGAATAAGGAAGATGCACGAGGACTCCCATCCATGCCCGCCCATTTGTGGGCGCCCATCCAATCACGTTCCGGAAAACCGGTCTGTGGGTTCTCTGGAACGGAGATTGTCGGGTTTTCGCGCATTCTCGACCTCATATTTGGAATCAGGGACATGAGAAGGCCCTGAAACGACAAAAACCTGGAAGTTGAGAATCTGGGTGGACGGTGCCTTTAATGGTGAGTTTTTCGACTACTTATGAATCAGATCAGGTGCCGTTTACACATAAGAAATCAAGCACCCAGATTTCGGAACACTGCCTCTAAGGACACTAAAAGTGAAAATCTACCTTGTTATAGACATTAGCGAAGTTGTAGATTTCGTCTTGCGATAGCTTTCCATCACGATCTACGTCGATATAGCTCAGAATCTGATAAGCCATCTCCCTATCGGCCTCCTTCTACAAACTACATCTACTAGCTAAGAAAAGATAGATTTCGATTTTTTTTCAGCTCTCACCCTGCTTTTAGGTCTGTTGTAGTTGAGCTGAGCGACGAATTCTGCGTAAGTAAGCTGACCGTCATCATTCACATCTGCGGCCTCGAAAACGCTATCAATGATGCTAAAACAAAAGACTTTAAAATTTTTGAATACCATAAAGTTGCAAGTTTCTTTCACAACATACTCCTCATTTGGGCAGGGAACAGTTGAAAATACAGTGTCTCAAAAAATGTGCCTACTGTTTGATTATTAATAATCCTTTTGTAATGAAAACTTTCAAGAAGCTTTGAGTACCGTCTTGTTGAGCTAGCTTCAACTTAGATTCCCAGTATAGAGCGGATTACCGATCGTCCTTCATTATTGTAGAATTACGGTATAATCTTCAAGTATATGGCGTCACTGTGAAAAAAAGTTGTAGCTCCAAGAATTTTCAAAAAATGTGAAAATTTATTCAATAGGGATTTCGTGGACGCTGAGTTTGATACTCAACTATGTGCAAGATTGCGAAGCTTTCCAGACGGTGTAGCCGCACTTCTTAGGAGCACTGAAAAAACGGCCGCTATAGCTTACCCCGCATAACTTCCTAATGAAGCGTCACCATAAGTTGCGAATTTCACATTTAGAATCAGCAACTCTAACTAGCCCAGCTTGAAAGTTTTCAGGGGTTTCGTTTTTTTTTCTCAGACAAAATATCGTCTTTCATGGCTCATAACCCGCTTTGAAGTTTCTACCGTAATCCTACAGTAATGAAGGGAGATGAGTGATTTGTTATAGTGTGATTCTAAGCTGAATCTAACTCTTCAAAATAGTACCTAAAGTACCTAAAGCTTTTCGAAAGACTTCATTACAGGAGAGTCAGTAACAATTCAACAGTAGTCACACATTCTTTGGAAGACCTTGTGTACAAGGGGCTCTCGAAAAGATCGAAAATCACAAGTAGAAATAATTCGTATGATATCTTTGAGTAAATTTCTGCTGCCTTTGGGAGTAGCATTTACTTCGATTTTGCATTCTTGAAATACTCTTTCTTACCTTGCATCACTTTCTTTGCGCGCGGTAGCAGCTTCATTCTGATCGACAATTTGGTCACTGTTCAGATCCATGCGCTGAATTCGAAGATTCAAAGAAAAAATTAATGGGGCTACAATACATACATATTATTACGGCTCTAAGCTACTATCTGAGTTGACCATTTGAAAAGTGGTAAGCTGTACTATACCTTCGCCAAATAGTGTGTTGAAATTGCTGTTTCTGGGTACTCCCACAATTTTCGAGAAGATTAGGAAAACTACTAGCCATGAAATCAAAAAAAGGAAGAGTGATACCAGTGAACTTGTCAAAAGCCATTTGCCTTTGACAAGTTTTTTACGCAACTAATTTGACTCTGAAAATTCTAGAAAATTGACAATTACAGTTGAAAGGTCTATTTCGCATTTATAAATCGTAAATAGAACATTCTACGAAATTTCACGACCGATCTTTAAGGCCTCCACTACCCTGTTTTCCTCTCCACAATGCGGCTTTTGTGACTGAATAATCGCTCAGACCATTTCACTGGCTATAGTGCCGACCCTATCGGAAATTTTTACGGTTCTCAAATTTCTAATCTTTTTTATTATAGCTTGTACTCCAAATTTCAAAAGTAATCGGCTAGTTGTTCACTGCAAAATGCGAAGACGTCTTATAGCATAATTCTATTTAATTGGTGGTCTTCACTCACTCTAAAGATTTCTTCAGCAGTATCAACCGGTTTACGGCTAATTTCATAAGCAAGTGGCACAAATTCGGCCACATCCAGAGTTTGGTCACGCGAAACATCGTACTGATGGAATACACCTAAATCAGTGATTACCGTATAGAAAAATTTCCTTTAAAATGAACGCTGGCAAACCTTTGATTTTGGAATCGCTGGACTCGCCAAGTTTTGACTTTTGCCATTTCTCGAATTCGTTGTAGTCGATAGCTCCATTGTTATCGGTATCGACAGAATCAAATGGTGTTACTGTAAGCTTCTATAGTAAAATAGCTTACGATAATAAAAGATATATTGCTGAACTGCTCAGGCGGCCCTAGACCTCTCGAAGGAGGCTTTTCTAACATAGGAAATTTTCACAAAACTAATTGTTCTTTGAATTCAAGAGGTAATTTTATTATTTAGAAACAAAAGGAGTTACATACCAACACAATTGTGTATACTCCCAGAAAATCGCTACCTCTTTTTTCTAGGGGGAGGGGGAGGAGGAGGGGAAGAAGAGGAGAAATCAAACTCACCGTTCTCCATAGCAGACTTTGGCACAGCATAAACTGCTACGATGGCTATAGTCAATACAAGTAACTTCATTTCCTGAAAAATGGGTATTTCGATTTTTTCTGTAAGAGAACAAGTCCGATTTATAAGCGCAAACAAGAAAATCTACGTTGTGAAGGTACCGTTGAAAGTGTAAAGATTTCCATGAAACTTACAAACCAAAAGACTTACATTAGAGCGGGAATGGGAGAAAAAGTGAAATGAATGAGCAAAATGAAGAGAAATTTCGCAGAAAGCCCCCAAGAAGCTTACAGGTCGCTTAAAGATGCTTCCAGTCAGGAATCAAAAGGCAACACTGAAGCGTATTTCTTGAAAAGTTGCCAGAAGCTTCAGAAATGGTAACTGTTCGAGAAAAAGATATATATGGAAATGTTTGCATGGATATGTATGCTTGAAACAAAACAGCGGCTGTAATCCACACAGATTCAGGTCTGATCCATCTTAGCTGCCCAAAGCGGGCACGAAAGCGTTTCTTCTCGGGGGCGCCATACCTAGGCGGCATGGCTAGCCGATGCAAAACCAGATCATATCCAGTCTTGCCTCGACAAAAGGCTTTTGATCACAATGCTGAATATCGATTGAGGTGTAAAAAGTCAATGTTATGAAGGGGGGAGGGGGGCAGAGGAGGAGGGAGCGAGGGAACTGAGAAAACGGCGATAAATGTCGCAATGTGAAGAAGCCGGTTTGGGATTTGAGAGAGTGGATTGGTGGAACTGCTTCTAATGCGGTTATGAGCGATTGGGTGAGTTTAACGGACCTGAGAGCGAGACAGGGGTATATTCAATGAACTGGCTCAATATATGGAAGCCGACTTGATCTGGGTGGAAACAAGCTTACCAAAAAATTTTATTGTTTACCTAGCGAAATGCAATATGCTTTTTCCTATTGTCGTTTGCTGTTCTGACGTTATCCGGATAATGATACAGATTCCCGCATGGAAAAGCCAAGAAAGATTACTGTAGCAGCCCACATAGTATATGGAGAAAACCAGTCTCTATGCGAACACCTTTTTCCAGCCGGAAGCGATTGACTGGAATAAGTCGAGGAAACTAGTTATGATAGCATGCCAGCGCTAGTTTCTTTCAGACCATATTAGGTGGAAATGACTTTTGTGAAAAAATTGAAATCTAGTCATGAAAGAGATTGCAGAATCTGGAATATCAAGCACCTTAGTATTTCAACAATGTCTACTAGCATATTTAATGGCATTCTGGATTGGGACATAAATGATCAAAATTGAAACTCTGATGAGTATAGGAGAGATCTCGAGATCTATCTTTTGCAAGGACAAAGTGTTTCTGCAGAAATTGCCTGAAATCCAAGGTCTTCTACCGTGTCGTCAATGTAAACATTCCAAAATATCTACAAGGTCATACTGTGTAATACAGCATTCCCTGAATACTGGCACTTCACAGGAGTGCAATGGAAGGTATAGGTGTTCTGAAGATGAAACGGAAGCGGCAGGTTCGGTCACGGAACCAAAAGTCGTGCGCCTGTGACAAAGAAGAGAGTAGGAAGCCAAAGTGAATAACGTGGGACTATAGGCATTGTGTAAGGATTATGGTAGCTGGAATAGGATCCATCAGAGCGTACCGAGCCCCCCCCCCCCCTCCCGAGAATGGGTGGCGAAATTCTTGAAAGTTACTTACATGAGTTATAAAAATCGGGCACTATCGGGCAGTCATTCGCTTGTGTTACAGCACTAATTTGTATATCACTTTGCCTTCTTCTTATTTCGTCTAGAAACTTATTTTGCACTTCCTTGGTAACTACTGATGAGGGGCGCCAAGGAAATCACATACCTGGTCTAGTTCTTAGCTCCGAAACCGGTATGTGGAAAATTAAGAAACGTCTAACTTTCCTAAAAGCTATTGTTGCACACCTTGGTATTTCACTTCTCTCTATTATGGGTGGCGAAATTTTTGAAAGTTACTTACATGAGTTATAAAAATGTGCAGGCGACTTGTGTGTATACTTGTAAATAATCAATATAATATTTAAAAAATCCTCAAAAACTCAACCGAGCCTTATAAAAAATTTTTTTCGGGGGTGTGACTGCTGCACCGACCCCTTTTTTGAAAATTTCGGGGTTATGGGCCCGTCAAAATTTTGAGAAGCACCCCAGCACATTTTTCGGAATACACATTTGACGCTTTGATTACGCTAACCTTTTGCATGCAACTCCCAACATCTCTAGTTGGTGCTTTCTTCGAGTTTGGATAGATTGTATTAGAATGTAATGCAAAAGTAATGGCCGATTTTCCAAGCCTTTTTCCAGGGCAACTTTTTTTCCATTGATACTTCTTCTTTACAATAGATGTAATATACCATCGCGAAGCTATTTTCATGCTCTATCTAACGGTGCTTGAAATGGGCTCTCATCCTCATCTCTTGTAAGGTTACTGAGCTTCAAAGAACTGCATCCAAATCCAGAATTTCATTGCATCTTTTCCGGTCAGAATTCAGGCGCATATCAATGGGATTTCTTCGAAAATTTAGCTATTGTATGTAATACAAATTGTCTACATTATGCATAGTCAATTGTATTCTTTGAAGTTATCCAGACTGAGATATCGGCGCCTAAACATGGGTAGCTGCTGTCCCGGTCATTTTATGACCCATTATTTTCTTCTGAAGAAGTCAATCGCCGAAGCTTTGCTCAATTCAGTAGGCTTAATGCGAATGCATCCTGATAGCTGTTCTTGTAAAAGCATCCAGCTGTTTAGTACGTAGAAAATCAGAAAATTCTATATTCTGGACTTTAAGGCACACTGAAAAAATGCTTAAGAAACTGAGAAATTTTAAATTACAATTTTTTCTTTCTCGCAAACTTTTTTGTCCGAATTCTTTTTATTGTATTTTGTATTACTGGCTTGCGGCTACAACATAGGCCACTTATCATTCATACTAAGAAACTTTGAAGGAAGTTATGAACCGTCAAAAACAAGGTTCTAGCAGAAGAACCTTTTTGTCTTTTAGACCCTATTGCTCTTCCCGTTTATGGTTTAAGCATAAATAAGTATGCGCTGTATTGCGAAAGGTTTGCTGCATCTGGGAGTCTTTACCACATTCAGAAATTTGGATCTTTTAGAAAGTTATAGCACGTCAAAATGAGAATTCGCAAATCGGCCATTACTTTTGCATCAACCCAATAATTTAGGGAAAACATTGAATGCTAAATCACAAAGACAATACGTCTTTTGGTTTAGAGTCTCCGATTTTACTCGCAACATACGCGGAATCTGCAGTTCGAACTGAACTATTAGGTTGTTGCAAAAATAATGTCCGTTTTTTTAGACCTATAATCCAAACAACTTTTTCCCATCAGACTTTCTTTTTCGATATTGCATCTGCATATCATTGGAAAGCTCTCTTCATGTACTTTCTAATAGTTGTGAAATTAAGCTGTTATCCTCATCTATGAGAATTTCACCAGCATTTTTCACATTCGCACTCAAAATCAGAATCTCATAGCTTCCATTTTCTTGACCACAATTCAGGAGCAAATCAACGAATTCTTCTGAAAACATAGCAAGTGTATTGAATGAAGATTGTTTACCTACTGCATGCTTATGTAGATTTTTGGAGAAATGTGGACTGAGAAATTGACGCGTCAAAGTAGACACTCGCTGCTGGCATTCTATGGGTCAGAAATTTCTCATAATTAAGGCAATCGCCAAAGCTTCGCCCATTTCTGTAAGCTTGAAATTAGCACACCTTAACTACATTTTTTGAAGAGAAACTTAGCTATTCAGTGCGCGAAGAATTCCAAATTTTCATAGTTAGGCACTTACAAGCCTACAACAAATAGGCTCAAAAGAGTGAACATTTTTGAAATTTTATCTTTTCTTTTCGCAGAACTCCTTAGTTGGAGTCTTTTCTATACTCACCTATACTATTGGCCTGCGGCTACAAAAATAAGCTGATTAGCAGACATAGGGACAAAGCTTGAAGGGAGTTGTAAGCTCTTGAAGACGAGGTTTTCAAGAGAAAAACTTTCAGTTTTCTGACGCATGGTTTTCTTCCCGTTCGCGATATCAGTATGGGCAGGAGCGCGCTAAGTTAAGAAAGGTTTGATGTTTCTGATGGTCTTGACTGCATATAAAAATATGGAGACTGAACGAAGTTATAGCCTTCCAAAGTGAAAATTTGCAAAACGGACATTATTTTTGCAACAACCTAATAGATTACTTATAAGTTGATCCAGAATAACCCTAAATTGCTTTCGCAAGGGGTACTCTTCATTGTTGAAGAGGAAGCTGAAACTGCATTCAGCTGCTTTTGAGGAACCGATCATATGTGCGATGGCAAATGAAAGTAAGAAAACAGATGCGAGAAAAAATTGACTTTGAATTGACTATATTTTAAAAGCACGGCCCACCCATATTCCACGTTCCATGCAACTTCTATGTTTCAATCGTTTAGGGGCCTTCTCATGTCGCTGATTCTGAATATGAAAATCCCTTTTCCGGAGAACCCGCAGGCCGGCTTTCCGAAGAGGTGAATAGATGGGCGCGCACGGATGGGCGGGCATCACTGGAGGGGCGGTGCCACTCCTCATGCATCTTCGAGAAGGTAAAAGGAAAACTTTTCTATTGGGTGTTGGACAAACTTACAACCTGAAGAATGAGAAGTCCTACTTGATAGCATCAAGTACGACGATATTGCAAGACAAAGTTTGCTTTTTAGAAAAGCCAGCAACAGTATGAGATACTATAGACAAACAAATGTGGAAGTGTCTGCTTGAAAATCATGGCTGTAATTTACTCGGATGCACATCTGATCATCGTCTTAGCTGCCCAAACGCAAAAAATGTTTCGTCTCGGGGGCGCCACACCTAGGCGGCACGGCTAGACGAAGTAAAACCGGATCAAATCCAGCCTTGCCACGACAAAGGCTTTTGATCACAATGCTGAGTATGGATTGGTGTGTAAAAATTCGATGTTATGAGGGAGGGGGGGGGGGGGAGATTGAGGGAACGGCGATAATTGTCGACAGCTATGGAAAAGTGTAGAGAAGCCGGTTTGGGATTT